GTCCTCTAATAATATTGCAAATTTTTTTACCAATTTGTCATTTTCACGTACAGCGAAAAAACAAAGATAAGAAGGAAGGTGAATAAGAAATCCCAGGACAGACTCTAAAATTGGATTCGTTACGTCAGAATGCCCAGGAGCGCGAGAATTCGTAAAAAGAAAAAAAAAGAAAGAAAGAAAGAAAGAAAGAAAGAGTAAAAAAAAAAGAAATTTCGACATTCGCAAGTTGGAAGGCAGCGCGGTTGGTCCTGTTACACGGCGCGTAAAACAGTTTACGCGCGATGAGTTAATAGGTGCACGGGCACTGTACATGCAATCACCGCTACGGAATTATAGCATCTTGACGAGGTGCACTTTCTTGCTGCAAGTGCGAACTGGACTCGTAACAACTCCTGCTTTTGAAAAGTCACCTGTTCTCGCCTTTTCAATTTCGTTTTCTCTCGTTCAAGCGGCGGCAGGCGTATGCATAATTCACGGCGACTTTACCATTCGAATGGCAAATTACGGACGATTGTGTCGGCAAACAACGTTAGGTAGAATTTTTTTCCATGTCGATAATTCAATGATGATGATCTTTGAAAGAACGTCCTTTTGCTTTGGCTCTTGCTCCATGGGATATACGAGTATTTTGTGGTTAAACTACGTGTTGCTTTGAAGTCTAATTTTAAATAAATTTAAAATAATTTTATTTCAGCAATGAAAGTTCTCATTGTTATTCAAGTTATTAGGAGAAGCATTTAAAAACTTGTAATAAATGCTTTATTTACAATAAATAACAAAACTGTGTATGCTAAATTGTGTAAATTCTATCAAAGCATTAGCAACGTGCAGATATTAATTATATATAAAATATAAAGCAAAAAGTAATTATTATAAGCTCAGCGTAGAGGAGGGATAAATAAAATTAATATTAGATCAATTAATTAGATTCAATAATGCCAATCTACAAAAATACGATTAAATACAAAATTCGATAAAATTATGATAACGATAATAATCATTTAGTCATGAAACAAAAAGAACATTGCATGCTTAATTAAATAAATATTGTTAAAAATTAATTTATTTTCATTGTATTATATAACATACTCTATAATTTATTTTGCTAAGACTTTATCGTATTATAGGAGAATTTGCTATTTATTCTTCATAAATGTATCTTTCGACTACTGTAATTATAATGAATTACAATTTTAAATCTAAGAGCAATTCCAAACATTCTACTAATATTTTCAATTACTTTAATTAATGCAATTATAAATATTGGTCGTAATTAATTATATTATTTTGATAATAAAAATTTGTTTTTTTCGATTTGACTTTAGAGCATTGGGTATATAAAAAATGAACACTCAAATGATATTTATTCTTGATTATTTGACATTAGAGCAGAAAAGTATTTATTTTGTTCGATTTCTCGTTTTATTGTAATGGGACAATTTTGATTGAAACGTGTTAAATAAATTTGTCGTGTATTTAAATGTCATGATAACATAATTCATCTTTATCAATTTTCTTATCTAATTTTAGTTAAATAATTAATATTGAAATGGATTATTTATTTAAATTTAAATAGCATAAAAATTTTAAAAACTCAATATTAATAAAATAGAAAATATTAAAAATTATAACAGTTCAGTTGTTCATAGATGAGAATCTGAGGATTCTATTACATATTAGAATAAAAATAAATAAAATATATGCTTACTATAATCAGTTATTTTGAATATAGTACGATGAAAACTTTATTATAATAAATACATTCAATCCAAAAGTTTATTACGTACATTAAAATACTTCATTAATTCTTGAATAAATTTAATTAATAATGAAGTATATTACAACAAATCAAAATTAAAATTGCAAATCGCTTCAACCAATGGCATCTTGACATTTGCACTTAAGGGCGAAAGTCCATCATTCCCTGTAGGATATAGATAGGATTAGAAATCGACTGTGATTTATTGAGACATTTTGATGGATTATTATAGATCAATCGACATTATATCGACAACATTCTCATGAATTTATAATGGTTTCCACGGCATTCACTACAAAATTATTTAACGACAGGAATGTATAAAAATAAGCGTAAAAATATTTTTCTACACATAATTGTCAATGAAGATAATTTTAAATTTATTTCAATTTAAATAATTTTGTTCTTACTTGATGGGAAATTAAGAAATTTAAACATATATCTATCAAATGTTTATATCGTCTAACTAATAGATGAATGAACAGTGAGATTTTGTTACAATAATAATTAAAATTAAACAATTTTATTCAGTAAGCATTATACAAAATTTCCTTCTGATTTTTAAATAAAAATTAAAGGATCAAATTATGCAAAATGTTTCGATTGCATCATAAATATGAAAATTTCGGTGATTATTACTTCATATTTAAACGTCCGAAAAAATACATAATTTATTAAAACCATTAAAGTGCATTTGTTTACCATAAATAATTTAGTGCACGAGGCTTAACTTTTCCCACGTAAAGAAAGCGGAGCACTATAGAATTTTTGTTTTTGCAATATCAGGGCAATTACAAAGATGCAAAAGGATTGATTAAAGAATAACTTGAATGCATTTAATCACTTATTCGGTGAGCATAAAATTTTGCTTTCATTAACGATATGTTTCACACAGATTTTCAGTAAACATTATGTAGGTCATCCGAGTTTTTTATCATGAAAAATCGGCAACTATCGTTTTAATTTAATTTAATTTAATAAAGGATTGAAATAATCTATAACATTGAATGTTCAGTATTAAAATACTAATTTTTAAATATTTTTATATAAATATTAATGTGTTGAAAAATTAATAAAATTCCACATTGTTAATGACAATATTTAAATTTTATATAATAATAATATATACTTTCAATTAATGATCAATCAATTTCTTAATTACGACTTAATTATTAACAGTGCAGATTTCACTCCAATTCACATGTATAAAAATATTAGATGTACCTTTAAATTATAAAATAAAAAAAAAGAAAGTTGTTTCGAGAACAAATAACAATATATAAATTATGGAGCATTACAATTTAAATATTTCTTTATAAATAAATTACTTTTATAAATGTTAATGAAATTGTAACTATGAGCTATAGCAATTTTTAATTTTACTACATCAACGTTAATTTATGAATAAACTTTTTGGACGAAATAAATTCGTACTCTAATTTTTTGTAATCACATGTACATAATTTATTTTGTATTCGAATTTTGTAGCGAATGTCGTAAAAAGCGTTTTAATATCATGAGAACATTGTCGATATTGTTGATATTGTCAATTGTTCTATAATATACCATCAAAATGGCGCAATAAATCACAGTCGATAATAATACAACACCATCCAATTTTTTTACGGAGAATAAATGCTTAGCAATAATAAAAATAATATAGAATAATAAAGTTTTTAAGTAAAATTGTTAAACAATAATATAAATAATAATAATTTACAAAAAAAACTTCACAAAATAGTTCGGTATCAGATTAAAGATACCTGAGTCGGAACACATAACTACTAACAACTATATGTGAAACCCAATATTAACATAAGATGCTCGTCAGCTATTCACTGGACCTTGAATTCTTAAAAAGTAGTTGAACGATTTTCACTACGTGTAATAATGAAAAAATGCACAAAAAGTCCAAACGACCATCTACTCTTCTTATATGCCAAGAAAAATAAATAAGAATTACTTTATTTTTATAAATGAGATTTATAGCATTGAGAATTAAATACCGCAATTAAAAATATATAATAAATTGTAATATGATATAAAATAATTGTAGATTAAAAATTAATTTTATAAATTATAACAAATTTAATCAACTACTTTTCAACACATAATTTAAGGAGACTTTTTTTTTTTTTTTTTTTTTTTTTTTTTTTTTTTAAGAATACTAAGAAATACAATATTAATGCATTGGTATGGCAAATAATAATAGAGATGTAAACATACAAGTTTTTATTAAAATATATATAGCAATAAATACCTATATATTGAAAAATCTTAGAAATATCTAGAATAAGTAATAAAATAATCAATTTGGCTGATGAAAGTTTACTCTGGCGCAGTTGAAAAGAATTAAGAATTTTCCAATTCGCGTGGAGTGAATTCATAGAACTAATACTTAGCATGTGAAATACAATCGTTATGCGATGACTTTGCAAGAAATAACGTGAATTGTATTGCAATGAAGGTTGTACTTATTTTTATATATTGGTTTCACCTTAGATTGCTTTATTCAATCCTCAAATTCAAGCGCATGAATCGAATGTAAAAATAAGTAAAACCACCTTACGAGAATCTCACTCGCTTTTACCAAACATTCAGTAATTTCATTAACCTGCTTCTTTTCGTTTTCACCGAGCTTTCTCCCTTCTATATGTGCTAAGAAACGGAAAAAGAAATTTATTACCATAAAGTACTTCTTATAGTAATTGTCAAAGTTTCCTCATCTCATTCCAATTTCTTATTACATTTCGTATAATAAACAGTTAAATGTAAACATAAGGTGTACAATATCAGAATAATTTTCAATTATTACGCATTATTTGGATATTTTATATCATAATAAAAAAAAATATTGACTATATTTATAAATAGCAATGCATTTGATTGTACTTTTGACATGTGCTTGAAAAGCCTAGAAAACGGAATTCATAAAAACAGTTACGAATTTGTCAATTAAAATTTATTCAAATTACCCTTCAAGCATTAAAAAAGCTCAATTTATTAATGAATATCATTCGTGATTACGTTCTATTCCATTAATATCAATATTACCTTACTCCCTTAGTTTGCTAAGGTAAATTGCATAGTAGAATTACCGACTGATTTCACAAGTAGTGTAACCTCGTGTTATATAAATCACTCAAATTTTATTGTACTTCATTTACTCATGTATTCTCGTATCCCTCTCACATTATTTGCTCATCACGCTAAGGTTCATAAGATATTTTCAAACTTTTAGCTACTGATATGCAGTGCCGGATATGTATTGGCCCAATATACGGACGAGGCTGCCAATGGTGTATCAGCGCCTCCGAAGAAACTGCTGCAAATCTCGGGAACAAGACGAATTAAGTCTCCGCGACTTGCCAGTCCACTGCCTCAAACAACTATCGTTAATCAAAAATTTCGACGACCGATACAGTAAGCCAACACTTACTATGTCTTATGTAACTGCTTAAATCACATCTCCAGTAATAATAAGTGCAATAATGAATCAGTGCGCACCCTCGTAAGAGAATTACATTGGCTTTTTGTCAGTCTTATCAGTCTTTAATAGGTTGGCGGTCGAGTTTAATTAAAATTTTAACGATAAAATTTTGAACAATAACAATGAGAGATATTTACCCGCTAAAAAATATTCCTTGCAAAAAATCATTTTTTACGAACATACGTTTTAAACCGATTAAATATTTGCAAGTACTTGCAAGTAATGCTTACATTACTGATCAACTATCTCTATATTAGCGCATACTATTATGTAAGATTAATTTGAGAAAAATAAAATTACTTGAGTATGTAATTTTGGACTTGGTTACTAAAAATGATGATTAATCAAGTATTATTCCCTATTGCATTTACACTCTGTGTTTTTATAAAATCGCTTAATAAATACAGCAGTCACTTAAAATTAATCTTCTTAAATAGGATATGGAAAATTAGTTTATTAAATAGACTATAATTTCATATTTACTATCAATTATTTGATGTTACACTGCAATTTATTATTTACTTTTAAATACAATAAGATTATTTTTGATAAAATGCTCATTGGAAATTTATGAAATAGTCAACATTTTCTTTCAATAAACATTTATATATATATATATATATATATATATATGCATGCAATTTTATTTTTATATAATTTGTTCCCATTGTATGTGTACGCGCGCGCGCGTGTTAGTACATAAAATTGCGAGTACATTAAATTTTACGGTTCTCTTAAATAGATTGTGTACAATCAATTATTCGATATCAATTAAAAAACATCAATTGTGACTACTTTATTTTTTGTATGTTTAGCTTTCGATAAAATGTATAAAAGCACCTATTATATAAACGTTAAATTTTATATTAATTGAAAAAATAAAATAATTAAAAATCATTTGAGTTTAACTTTATTTAAATATTTTTTCGAAAATTAAATACCGATAGTGTTTTTATGCTTACATAATAACATTTGATAGTATTATGTTCTTATTCATCATTAAATTAGACATTTAATGATAAATATTTCTTATACGCAGTAATCTATTCGATATAATGAAAACACTTTAGCAAGAATTTATCGTTAAGAATTAATCGTTACTTTTTTTTATGTTTCAATATTATAATATAGAGTAATTTTGCTCATTAGGACTTTGATGATTCGAAAGAACGTTAAGATTTATGATATAAAAATATTAAACATAAAGTTTCTAAACGTGTGAAATTATTCCCACAATTCTAGTACGATTGAATGAAAGTAGATATTACAGATAAACATTTAACACACAAGATGTTTCTAAACTCATTTTCAGCTCCAGTGAGTTGAAAATTGAATCTTAACTACTTTTTCAAGCAAGTATGTGCTCTTTATATGTAGAAATTTCACCTTTGAAAATGATTCAAAATTAATTATATGTTGTACACAAAAAAGTGTCTCACATATATAACATATTTTGTTTAACATATTTTTTATTACGATCATCTCTCTATCTCCATTTCTCTCTCTCTCTCTCTCTCTCTCTCTATATATATATATATATATATATATATATATATGCATATTTACGTGCATGCGCATATATGTATATGTATATCGCGAATCAAATATTCTTTGTAAAAAGAAACTTAATCGTCCACCTTTGATTAGCAAACGAAAGCTCACTTTCTCCATCTCTAGCCATAAATGTTCACAATACAGTGAAATAGCCAATGCGTGTAGAAACATTTTCTCATATCTTAATATTGAAATGATAGCCAACAGTTTCTTTGATTTTTCGTCTTCTATAGCAGACCGCGATTAGCAGCCGAACCCATTCCAGAACTTCCGGTTTTCACATCGGGCATCCGAGGTTCGCGACCTTCCGCAGCATCGACTATCAGTATTGAGCAAAATGATGAAGCCTCGGCTCTGCCAATACAGGCGATTCAACAGCCCCAGGTCCATCAACAGATTCAACACGAAGTAAAACCAGTAAACGAGGACAATGAAAAAGATCAGAATATTATTCAAGTCATTGCGAACCTCGGAGCCGTTGCTGGCAATCTAGTTACTCCTGCCACTGCAACACCCACAGTTCCTTCAGGTGTAAGCGCCTCCTATCTACAACAACAGCAGCAGTTACAGCAAGAACAACATAAGCAACAGCAGCAACAGCAGCAGCAGCAGCAGCAGCAGCAGCAGCAGCAGCAGCAGCAGACGGTGCAGTACAGGCCCGTTCAACAAGTGTCGAGATCATCGATAAGCATTGGGCCTGAGACGCAAGCGGTAAGTCAAAAAGTCTTCATGCAAGTAATACAGTATTTCGAAAAATATACAATAATAGTATTGTAAAAAATATAAAAGAAATTATTTAAATGCGTGTAAGCAATTGTTGTATATAGGACTATTAGAAAATTTCGCGACATATTGACAAATCTATAATTTACAACAATTTATAGTAACTATTTAGCTATAGTAACTAATTATAAAGTTGTTTCCGATAGATTGTAAAAGATAAAATTATAATTCTCTAAAAATATACCTTTTACTAAAAATTGTATAAATTTTGTATAATATTTACTCAAAATTTATTCATAAATTGTGACTTGAAATTGACCATGACTGCGAATAATAATTCATATTCACTAGATATTTTTACATGAATTTCAAACTATAACCGGAAGTTTAAATGCAAACCAGTCAATTTCAAACAAAAAATCACGTATACTTTCAAACGCTCAAAGCGAAATTATTATAAATAACGACATAACGAATGTCGTTTGGGTAAGTAAAATTACACTGCTCTTAAGTATTCAGTCGCGAGAGTAAAATAAAAAAGCTAACAATTGCCTGCAAATCATTAGCATATCTGTGGCAATAATATAAATGGTAAAATTGATTATTTAATATTACTAAAAAAAAAAAATCTATTCTAAATCTATATGATTTCTATTAAATATATGTGAATTTTCAATGAGAAATCCATTCAATATATTTATAAAATATATTTAAAAGTAATATCGGGTGATATTATGTAACTCGCATTGAAAGTTAATATCAGAAAAAATTCGGTCTTTCCGTGTTACAATGTGCATTGCAAAATGTCTATTGATAATGTTAATAAAAATGGCTCGGAATAATTTAGTTGTGATTAGGGGAGATAGATTAGAATTAAAGTTTTTCTCTTATAGAATCCTAGAAATTAACTAATAAGAGTTTAAGCCAAGAGAGTCAATAAGAGAGCAATCGATGGCTGTTGTGTCTAATTGACGTTCTTTTCGGTTATCGATTAGCTCCATCAAGTGATAGCGCCGGTACAGTACAGACCACAAAAGCCAGTAAGATTGCATAAGCATCAGCAACAGCAGCAGCAGCACCAGCAGCAGCACCAGCAGCAGCAACAACAACAACAACAACAACAACAACAACAACTAGTGGAACGCAACGAGTACGATATCAATGAGGCACGTCCATTTAAGCAAAGGGCGCAAGTAACACCGAAAAAGTCGAAACCTAACGGTGATTACTACGAGGGAAGGACTAAGAAACCTGTAGCGCAGGTAGTATTTACGAAATTATCCTTAATAACTTTTCCTTCAAAGTAATTTGTAATTATTACTGCAGTAAGGAGGCTCGTGCTATTGTGAAAGTTAAAAGTTATAATAAACCGGAAAAATTTGTGGCAGTTTAAGCATTTCAATTTGTTTACAATGATAAAAAGTATAATAAAAATAATAGCATATATTTTTATTAGTTTTAATTAATTAATTTTTTCCAAAAGTAAATAGATATTGTAACTTTAAAAATAATATTTTCTAACTTCCTTTACGAATAGAAATGAATTAAAAAAAAAATAGTAGTTTTTTTTTACCTAAGAAGATAATACAGTAAATATTTAGACTAATAATCATTTTAATTATGTTACAATTATCCATGAGAAAATATTTAAAAAAGTATAATAAAAATAATAGCATATATTTTTATTAGTTTTAATTAATTAATTTTTTCCAAAAGTAAATAGATATTGTAACTTTAAAAATAATATTTTCTAACTTCCTTTACGAATAGAAATGAATTAAAAAAAAAATAGTAGTTTTTTTTTACCTAAGAAGATAATACAGTAAATATTTAGACTAATAATCATTTTAATTATGTTACAATTATCCATGAGAAAATATTTAATTTTATAAGATATTTGAATAAATATATATATATATATATATACCATTGCTTTATAAAAATTATTATTTAATAATTTTTAGAATTCTGAAAAACGAATTTAATTTCAGCGCGTCATAAAGGTTTAATTTTTAATTAAAGAATATAATATTATGAATTATTATCTTAACAATAAAAAATAAATATAAATTAATAAATAATTATAAATCAATAAATATAAGATATAAATTAATAAATTTACTTTAAACAATTCTGGTCTAATATTACTATGCTTAATTGAAATGAAAGTAAGGGCCGGGCAAATTGAGAAAAAGGGCATATCGGTCTCAAAAGTGCGAAAAAACGTCAAGACAATTCAAAACATTTCTTTGTACGCAGGTGATAAGGCGCTATCGCGAGGAGACTGCCGACGGTTCGATAATCTGGGGATTCGAGAACGACGACGGTTCGTTCAAAGAGGAGATCATCGGCATTGACTGTATCACCCGCGGTAAATATGGCTACGTCGATCCGGATGGCCTGAGGCGCGAGTACACCTACGAGACGGGAATCAGATGCGACGAGGAAGCGCAGCAGCAACAGGACTTAGATATTCTTAATACGTTCGTTGACTACCAAGAGAATAAGCTCGTATTACCGAGTGGTAAGACAATCGACCTTAGCAGTATGGGCAAGAAACAGGCCCGTCGACCTCAGCTTTACAGAAATTAGGCAGAAATTGCAAACGCAATCGTTGCATGAATTAACGTGAATTGTGAAGATGGCTTTTGTTTACAATTGCGTGAAAGCATTCTGCCATTTTCATCGGATGTAGCATATGTAAACATAAGTTCGGAGAAGGGAGAATATCTTTCAATTTGGTTTACAATGGTGATAGAACAGTTTCTTCAGAATCGCAATAAAAATAATGCAAACTGATTTTATAAGGCCATGTACATTTCACCTTGAATTCTAAAAGAAAATCTTCAATGGGTACTTTTTTTTTTCATTTGAAAGTATAATCTATTTTGTATAATAGTTTGTAAAAAATAAAAATAAAAAAAAAAACAAAAAAAAAAAAAACAACGAAATACAAACGACAAATTTAATGCATAATGCGTTAAGATATATAAAGTCAATTTATAAAATAGTTTTCAGTTTTTAAAGATTAAATTACTACGACTAATCGTAGAACTTATTATTAGAAATACATAAGAAAACTTGATTTACTGCTTATTTTACATATAATACATATAATACAAAATTTTTAGACATTTAAATAAGATTAATAAGACAAACTTTAGATTTATACAATATTTATTAATTGATTTCAGATTATTGGAATTAATCATATTTTTTAATTCTAATATTATCAATATAATAACGTTTTGGAATTTTTGAATTATATTTAAAAATACTTTCATTTATTTTAAAATATTTGTAATAATAACCTTTTAACAGTATATATATATATATATATATATTTGTCGTTAAACGTAATTTTTCATTGAATAATTAATTAAATAATTAAATAATATTATCGATCTAATTATGTCCCATTGTGCTCTTAAATATACTTAAGATTATATTATACAGCTGAAATATTTTATTATTATTATATTTTTTTTATCTGTAATGTCGTATAAATTAAAGTAAATTTCTTAAGATTTAAGCAACGTAAACGTTATTGGATGAAATTTTGTAATACGGTTATTTTTTATTTCCGTAAAATTTTGTCATAGAAACCTGCATATATACATATTTAAAAGCTTATACTTTAAGTGTTTAGTTAGTGCGTTTGTTACAACTCTCTAGAAAAGTAGTTTTTTTTTTTAATTCAGTGATAATTTTCATCATTTAGTATTATTATGACATCTTTAGATATTTTGCATTAATTTTGTCCCACTGAAATATTGAGAAATATCGAATTGCACGTAAAAAAAAAAAAAAAAAAAAAAAAAAAAAAAAAAAAATCAACCAAATATTTGTTAAAATCGTAAAAGGCGTATAGATTATTTTTGTTAAGTAATAAGATAATAGTCAAGCTACTATTTGTATTATATTCGTATAAAACAAATAAAAATTTTTAAAATATATATTACTATACATAATTATTTTTTATACCACAATTTCGTTTATTTGAGGGTAATATCATTTACCGAAATTGTTTCAAGGGTTTGTCAAGTGTTTATTTACAAAATATCATTGTAAGGAAAAAAATGTTTAGCTATTATTTGAAATGTTACGTTTAAAGCTTTGGTCAATGAACAATTCTGCCCCAACATCGAAAGAAATAATTATTTGCATCGTTTTGTTTTCGCTTCTTTCACTTTAGACATCATCAAAAGTATTTGTCAATTTGAAAATATAATTTTATAAACAAATTTTATAGCCCCTTACTTATCTCGATGAGCGCAATAATGATTAAATGCAAGATAACAAGATACATGATGTTCCAATAAGCTTTTCCTTATAAACTTTCACTATTGTATTTATTCGATATTAATAAATTGGCCTATTGTTAAATAAACTTTAAATCATATATAAATAATTATAATTATAATGTCTGTGTGCACACATAAGCATGAAATATCAGAGAATTAATGAAATGACAATGAAATCGTATTGCATCGAATATCTTAATTAGCTAGGCATTTTCATCGATTATATCTATTTGTGGCTGTCGAGTACTCTAATGATTAAATTGTTCTAACTTCCGTTAAAATACGGGATAACGAGTACGTTACTGCAGCATAGGGCTGCTGATTAAATTTTTGTAAATATGCAAGACGCATAGCAAGACGTAAGGCGAGAAAAGTAATCCAGCACTGGGAATGTAATAAATGACAAACTATTGTATAAAATAGAATCGAACGTCCGCTCCCCACAGACTACAAATATTACAAATAAAATCCGAGGGTGTATAATTAAATCGAAGGATAAATTTATACAGATGACAAATATAGCTCGTGCCACTTTATCTATATGCACATGGCACGTTTAGAACAAATCCTGCCCCTCCCAACTTCATTAGCACTTGGCAAAGAACAATGATTAAGAAGGGATTAGAAATTGTAAGAAAGAGCGAAAGGCAAAATGAACGCCCGATGCGACGTTTTTCCACGCTGGTCTGCCCAAACGCAACCAATCAACAAACTAATCCTTATGAAATAATTGTCCCTCCTCTTTCTGCGCGCTCGGCTTCGTCAAACCACCAAATCCATCGCGGCAACGACAATTCTACTGTACCATCCAACTGTACCATCGGCAACGATCCACGAACGATGACCACTCACCACTACTTGCATCCAGAATATCGAATAATTGAGCGCTCACTTCAAGCTATAAGAGCCCGGGCTCTGCCCTCTACTCCCGGAAAGGCGTTAAACATAAGCGAGAGAGATAGATAGATAGATAGATAGAGAGAGAGAGAGATAGAGAGAGAGAGAGAGAGATAGATAGAGATAGAGAGAGAGAGAGACGGAGAGAGACACTTGACGACTTGGCATTGGCTTTAGCTCTGTCTGGTGGCATACTATAGCAACATGCGCAAGTAGGCCTTCGCTTAGCGACGTAGCGGTTAACCAGCAAGCGCTCGTGGTCCATATCCTCTCCTTTCCACGTTTGTTTTGTAATTTCTCCTTTGCCAGGAGGAGGGAATAGTGCCAGGAAGGCCGAGGGCTTCTCCGTAGCTGTAGCCGAAGGTATCGAAAGTCGACGAGAATGAGGAACTTACCGTTACTGCTGCTCGTTGCCCTACCGGCTGTTATCCTGACGATGAGCCCAGGTGAGTCGAAACACTTTGACCAGATGTCAAGCCAATGACTCGTGCTTTTATCTATTTTTTAACCTGCCGATGTATTTGATGAATCGGAGTTGGGGCAGACATGCGACGCGATCGGATGTACCGAAAGATTAAACGGATATAACGAAACTCGATCGGGAAGAGTTGACGATCGTAGTGACACGTGAGCGTAATGCTGCATCCTTCATTTTGGTTTGAATTTGATGTATGAAACTGTTCTTTATTCCCGAGGCTCTTGAGATTTAGAGGTCGACACTGATGAGAATAGCCAGGCAGTCGATTGATAATGGACTTTAATATTGACATTCTTTAACAATTTATGACATTTTTCCATTAGGTTATCGCTAAGATCATTATTTATTTTATTATAACTATGGTTTAGAATATTTTTGTCTCCTGCTCGATGTGGATTGTTACTTCTCCACGGTTTTAAGTAAAATTATATTAGAAGCGTGAGAGGTTTTGATTCAATTTTTTATTAAGTTTTGATTAAGAAGCATGTAGTACGGCAGTAGCCTATCAAAACTTTATTTTATTTTTTTCTCGTACAGATTGTAATAGCGAACTAAGTAATAAGCCAGGAAAATAAAATTATTTAGCTTCAACTGATAAGATTTTTCTGTATTATCAGGAAGTATACCAGTTGTATCGGCTCAAGAAGATGATAACGATGATATCGTTGATGTGGAAGGAGAAGAAAATAGTATAGTTACCGATGAAGAAGCCGAAGATGAGATAGTAACAGCTTCTAAAGATGTAATTACCTCGATTCTCTTTACTGAACCAATTCACAATCCACTGTCAACTCTTGGTAAATATTCTTTTAACTAATGTAATTAGTTCATCACAAGCGCTTAAACTTAAATAGATATGATAAAATATAAAATTATATTGTGAGAAATCAAACATTTTGACTTTCTTGTAGAATTACCAGCTGGCAAACTTGTTGAATTTTTAATTGGATTCACAAATAAGGCTGAAGTCGACTATATTATCGAAACAGTCAACACTTCGTTTCGTTATCCAATGGACTTCAATTTTTATATTCAAAATTTTTCAACGATCGCTTACAACAAAGTTGTCAAACCAAATCACGAAGCTACGTTAGCATATTCGTTCATTCCATCTGACTCCTTTGCTGGAAGACCTTTTGGTCTTAATATAAACTTGAATTACAGGGACGCCGTAAGTAATCATTTATTTCTACGTTACATTGCCCTCAAAATTAAATACAAAGCTTATTCTAAATTATAAATAAAAAATCAATTCAAAATGTATTTCAAATTAATCGATGAGAAAAGAAAAGAAATACATATACGTACATGTAAATGTGATAATACGCATGGAATACATATTAAAGGTTATATATTATTTTATGGGAGTATATAATTTTTTATCGATATTTTACAGAATGGATTATCATTTAACGAAGCTGTATTTAACGAGACTGTGCAAATTATTGAGCTGGACGAAGGTCTTGACGGTGAAACTGTTTTCTTATATATATTTTTGGCAGCTTGTGTCATTTTGACTCTTGTCGGTGGACAGCAGCTTTTATCATCATTTGGAAGAAAGTCTCGCTCCACCACTCGCAAAGCAACTATCGAACTAGGAACCGTGAATCCCAATAACGTTGATTATAACTGGATTCCCAAAGAGACTCTAAATATGATCAGTAAGCTACTATTTATCGCTTAGATATTATAATGAAAAATATAATTTATCAATTCGATCATTCTTTTACAGATAAATCTCCAAAAACACCTAAACAAAGTCCAAAACAAAGGAAAGTTAAAAGATCCATCGGCTCCGACGACTGAATGTAATGGAAATTATTTATGATTAATTTAAAACAGAAAGGAGGGAAATGATAGGACGTACAATACGTCATTTGTAATTAAAATATATGAGAATTTACTTAAATGCAAAATGAAATCTTTGCGATTCCTGTGTTGCAGTGTTCTATTTATTGAATTATGCAACAAAGTGCGTTAATTGTGAACAAACTTTTTTACTTAGGTAATATAAAGATTTATTATTAAAGATGAAGTACAACGTTTATGGTGTTTCTTTTTTTTTTTATTATAATAAATAAAATTTACTATTGATACTCTGAAATCTATATTTGCATTGTAATGTCATTGCAAAATAAGAAGGACAGAAAACGAAAGGTCCTTAGTAACTTTTTAAAATTTTGTGCAAATGCTTAATCTATCTTATAATTCAGTGGCAATAAAATAAACATCCGATAGTTATCCAATAATAATTATTATTAAAATTAATAGAAAATATAAATGGGTCTCATTGGTTTCAATTAATAAGTTTATATATATATGTATACATTTGTATACAATTACAAACAATTTGTAAATATTTTGACTGCCAAGAAGTTTAATTATTACTTTCTCTCATACGTTTTTTTAAACGTTTGTAATCTTATTGTTCTTTCATAAGAAAAATAAAATGTTTTTATAACTATAATAAAGCCAAATTTATTGTTCTATAAATGTGTCAAATTTGAAAAAATGTTTCATTTGCATAGAAAAATAAGAAAATTAAAGACGACATTTAGAGATGCATACGGCGTATGCGCATCAACAATTGCGTGCCACGCGGTCAGGAATAATTACTCCAACATGACATTTGTTAATCGTTTGTGGTCGTCGTATCCAATTAAATGCCGCATTAGGTAATCATCTTAAAACATTATTTTATTAACGCCAAAATCAAATAAAACTAAATGTAGATAATGTTCAGCGTGAATTTATTTTTAGTGTATCTTTTAGTTAATCATAAAAGTTTATTTTTAGTGTATCTTTTAGTTAATCATAAAAGTGTATTTGATTCCGATATGGGTATTATATAATAATAATATGACCTTAATTCTGATACAATTCGTTCACTATACATACAAAATTTATAAAAATTACCATCTTATTTCAACTAAATGCATTTTTTACATTTTATATAATATATATTGTGGTTTTTACCGACTATCGATATATGTTATACACATAATCGTATATAAAAAAAAAATGTACATACTAATAAGTAATGTAGTTACCATGTTCTAATAGTGAAAGCACAAATGCTCTCACTAAACAGAATATTTTAAAAATGCAGATTATAAATGCACATTCTCATTTTATTATTTTTTTCATTCATTAAAAACATTTATACAAATAAAATTTATTAAAGTATTTTTCAAGAAATATACTTACCTTAATCATTACAATAAATAATTGCCGTATTAGCATTTAAACAATAAATACAGAATATGTATTACTTTGTCTTTTTTTTTTCTTTCTTTTTTTTTTTTTACAACTTTTATGCGCTTATAAATAACCGTTTACTACTTAACATTTATTCGTATTATTTGTAGTTAAAAATTTTTACTATAAGTTAAACTATCCTCTTTTAACGATATTTATTAATAGTTTTTTAATGTGCGAGTGGCTTATTATTATCTAGAAATATAAAAATATATATAATCATCCTTAAGAATGAATAAACTAATTTTTACAATGTCTTTTCTTAAATTCAAATAAATATTTATACAATGATTTTTGAAAATTGAAAATTTATATCGATTCTGATGTCGTAGATTTAATTAATACAAGAATTAATTAATTATAAAGAACTATTTTTATGTCGTAATATATGTACATGGATACAAATACGAATTTTTAATAATAAAATATATAAAAGTATGACATTGATATTATTGGCTATTAGAAAGATTCAAGTATGTTAGATTTGGAAGAATGGAAATAGAGATCGAAATGGGGGAAGAAAATTTAACATTTTAATATTTTCACAACAAATTTTCAACAAATATTCAGTTTAATAATAAAATATATTTTGCGCAATATTATGTAAATTTTATAGAATTTTACATCAGCTTGGTTATTCTTTATTCGTCTCTCTTTTTTCTGTTCATATTAGTAATATTTTGCTTTTCTTGCATCGATTAAAATATTACTTATTTAATTCATTCGAGGTACTAAAATTTACTTTATCAAGATACGATAAAATCTAACACAAGCCTCGTAAAAGCCCTTGTACTTCTATATAATTATATAACTATATAATTATATAATTATATAATTATACTAGAATCGTATAGAAATATACGAATATTAGGCGCACATCTGGTCCGATCGGTTAAAGTTACTTTAATTTCGCCGAACTGTAAATCTCTAATTCCTAACGCAATGCTGCACGGATTATGAGAAACAATCAACGATTTGGCTTTACCAATAGTTCTTGTCCAGAAAATTAAAAAAATTAAATCCAGAAAGCTACATAAAATTATTGTTATAGCTAAAATTGAATTTAAATAATCACCGGATTTCAAATATAATTATGCAATTAACGAAATCTATCTTATGATGATAGCTAAAAAGAATATCTATCATTAACTATCAATACGTTAACAGATTAATGTCTGGCAATAAAGGAATAAAATCAGGTACATATCTGCCGTAAGATCTTCCCTGATTATACAAATTGTTAATTTAAACGACTGTGGCGTTCGATCTTTTCGAATAACCATTCCATCAAACCTACTGACTCTAGCACAATAAACTACTTGTATAGAAATACTTTTGAATTTGAAATCTGGCGCATTTTCATAATACTCGTGAAATACGGATTTTTACTCTAAACTCTCTCTTCTTATCTATTATGGAAGCCAAAGGAGTGTGTAGCTTTTAATTTACTCGTTTGGCCGCTAGAGGCTATAGCTTACAGATATGTTCATTCGAATCTGTTTTCAGCAATCGCAAGAGCTCACAATCGGCAATCACTGTCGATTCTATGAACCTCGTAATCTCTGGTGTATGGCTGTAAAAAAATTATCAGCCTTTCTTCGCATGTGAGTTGGCCGGTGTCGAGGTTATTGAATTATAATCGAGGGACATCCGAATTTCTTTAATATTAGTTGACTTGTAAGAATAATAATATGCCTCCCAAATTCGATCCTAGCGAAGTCAAGAAAGGTCTTTTATATATTTCTTTAAAGTTATCTTCATTGTGCATTTTAAAGTGTCACCACTTACGTTTCAACTTGTCTTTGATTTTATAGTGTTTCTTCGATGTGTCGGAGGTGAGGTCGGAGCTACATCTTCTCTTGCCCCGAAAATTGGTCCACTTGGTCTTGTAAGTAATGATGAATTTATGATTTCATTGTAGATATAATTTATACTTATCGTATTGATTTCCCAATTTACATTATTGCATTATTAAGTGCACTTGCGAATTAAATCATGATTTTATTTGAATTTTGTAGTCGCCTAAGAAAGTGGGAGATGATATTGCTAAAGCAACGAGCGACTGGAAGGGCTTGAAAATTACTGTACAACTCACAATTCAAAATAGGCAAGCCACGATATCCGTTGTACCATCTGGTGCGTCGCTTATTATCAAAGCTCTTAAGGAGCCTCCTAGAGATCGCAAGAAAGTTAAAAATATTAAGCATAGCGGTAACTTATCGTTCGATGAGATCTTATCTATCGCCCGTGCAATGAGGCCTCGATCTATGTCACGCAAACTTAGCGGTACTGTAAAAGAAATTCTTGGTACCGCTCAATCCGTGGGATGTACAGTTGAAGGTAGACCACCTCACGATGTCATTGAAGGAGTGGATAATGGAGAATACAAAGTACCAGAGGAATAAATGGTTTGTTCAGGGTCTGTGGCTCATTCTTTTAATTGTCGATTAAATTAAGAGTCAAATTCTTTATATGTCCATTTGTCAATTTACATATTAACATAAACTCAAAAATATTTATTAAAAAATTAATTATTGATACACATTATTAAACAATTGCTGAAATCAAATTATAAAATAACAACTTAATAACAAAAACAAATGAGTTATGCGTTATTAAAATAGCAAGAATAACCAATATTTTTTACTAATAAATACTCATACGTTCTTCTATTTTACTTTTATCTATAAAGTAATTGAAAGGGAGAGCCTTTGACTCTTGGTAGGGGTTGGCATCCCATCCACTTGACTAGTTCTGATTTAATATCAGTCTACAAGCACTTTATGCCTTTGAGGAGTAAATCTCAATAAAAAATCACTTTCAATATCTTAATATCCATTATTTTATTGAATTTTATATTTGTATTTATATATTTAAATACATTTTATTTTGTATATATCATCTAATTCTAGAATTTCTATATTATTTCAGATTATCTACAATTGTGATAATAAATATTTTTAAAAAATTTTCAATTTATATTTATTTGTAGTACCTTCGTTGTATCACTGAACTCAATGCAATTCCAACTAATTTGAATATGTAAAACAATATGTTTAATTTTTAATGCCCTTTTTTAATATAAGTAAGTGAAAGCCAATATTATGTAACATTTGTGCAATTTCTATATTAAAATTTAATATTTATTTAATCATTTAATAATACATTATAAAAATTTTAATTTATGAATAATTTATTCATTTTTTACGGGTTCTTCTTTATTATTCGATGATCTAAAATTTGGGAATTGTTCCCATGGTGAGGACAATTCGAATTTTCTAAATTCTTGACTTAATTCAAGAGGCTCATGAATAATTCGTCTTCTAGCATCATCATATCGCAACTATAGAATAAAATAAAATAAAATAAATATTAATAAAGAAATCACTGGCAAAAGTTACTAAAAGTAAGGATTTAAATGAAGTATCTCGAATAATATCATTAGTATAGTTTTGTAAGAATTTTAAAAAATTTTAATTTATTTTATTTCAAATATCTAAACTTTTTGCTTACAATTCACACATCACTGCACATATATAATCTATCTCTCGTGATAATATACTTTTGTTTAAATGTAACAATTTCTTATTAAGTATTTTTGTATTTATTTATATTATAGTTTTCACTATTTTTATGTTAAAAATAATTAATATGTGACAGTAGTTGATCAAATATTTTTAAATAAAAAATTTGTTATCCCTTCAAATATGCGTAATTGGAAAAAATGTTCAATTTACTTATTTAGAATATATGAAATAGTTTTGAAATTCGTCGAGAAATAAATTATTTTAAATTATAATACTTTAGTTTTAGTAAATTTTAAAATAAAATTTGTTGTATAGGTAAAAAGAAAATATAACATCACCATCATGTTCATGAAAGTACTTAATTTAATACATATACTGAATTGCATTTTTACGACTATTAATTCTATGAAATACAACATCTAAGAGTTACGAATTAATTGAATTAACTAATAAAATATTTAAATATTTTGGATGAAAGTAAATACCTCAAAATATCCAGTAAGTGGAAAATCTTTCCTCAATGGATGACCTTCAAATCCATAATCTGTAAGGATCCTTCTCAAGTCAGGGTGATTGCTAAAGTACACACCAAACATATCCCATACTTCTCGTTCATACCAGTTAGCAGCAATATATAGTTCGCAAATAGAATCAATCGGAGTTAATTCATCTGTATACGTTTTGATACGAATTCGGTTATTATGATTAAGCGAAAGGAGATTGTAAATAATCTGTTACAATTAATTCGAAATAAATTAAAATAATATATCATTCAATTTACTAATACAAATTTAAAGAAAAGTTGTAATATCATACTTCAAATCTGTATTGTCTACTTGGAACGTCCATGGCAGTTATATCTGATAACGATCGGAACTGTGTGTAGTGATTTAATTTCATAAAGCTTAAAACAGGTAAAACTCCCTCTGGTACAATCATTACTTCCAATTCATCACGACATACTATCTGCACTTGCTCTACGTACTTTGGTAAACAACTAGATATGTAATTTCCCAATTTTGTTAATTTCTCAACCTTTTTGGGATCTACCTTCCGGAACATAACTAAAATTATAATAAAAATTAATGAACATATTAATTATTTTGACGATGAATTTTATAATACAAAGTACAAGATAAACCTAGAATACTAATAAATACGATAGGAAAAGGACAATGAAATAATTTGAAAAATAAGTAATTAAATGATGTACTTCTCTATATCTGTTATAGTTCATAAGTTTTTAGTAAACAATTGAAAACAATTATTAATATCTTCATGATTCAATATACATGTAATATATGTATATAAATATATATTACTATTTAAATGGACTTCAAAATTAAATTAAAAATTTCCAACACGAATTTATGCAGACATTTTTATATAAAATAATTTTAAATAAAATTATTTATTATTGTAAAAGTATGATGACAATTAATTTAAAATATGTATCCGTTGTAAAGATTAATTGTCATAGGATCATTGAATGATAAAAAAAATCATTGTTAATTCAATTGTCCTGCGTATAAATGTCTACAGGCACACGAAAGAAAAAAAACAAAAATATAAAAGGAGTTGATTATTATTTGCTCACTTGACGATTCCTTCGATTCGTTAATATTATTCTCTGCATTTCTCAAAATAGACGAATTACAAATATAACCTAAAACATTATATCATTATATAATGATTTAAAATTGAATTAAAATTAATTTCAGTTTTTTACGTTGTGATTGTAATTGAATACGTGAAAATTGCCTAAATGTCGTAAAAATGTTTTTCAATCTAGAAGCCATGTTGCCTCACTCACTCACAAAGCACGACAATTAAAATATACAAAAATAACAACACAGCCGTTTAAATTGAGGAAGGATAATGTCTCATACGCTCCTTACACTCCTTCTCGCTCATTCGCCCTGCAACAATCCATAACAGTTTGCCTGTTTCGAGCGGTGAGAAAATATATACGCTAAGCACATGCGCGCCCTTTCGAACATTTTACGCGCCATCATTTTATTTGTACGGCTTGAAATTTCTTCAAATTATGAGATTGATTTGATTTTAGTAAGAATGCCATTTATTATATAAATAATCGCGCAAATCATCACTTTTTGCAAATTTGCTGATCACTAGTGTGAAAATAAATAAAGAAAACTTTAGGCTTAATCATAACCTCGACGATTGTTTTAACTATTTTGTGAACGCAAACCATTTTTTATAGTTAATAGGCGATTTAGAATTAACATAGTTATATGAACGTTGGTTTAACGACTGTGAATTATCGATATTGTTAACGGGGTGCTATTGAGTGATATAATGATTTTGAAGTAATTTTAAGACTAATCACTGTAAAAAAAAAAAAACTTTGAGAATTATTTAATTAACAAACATAAAAAGACGTAAGTATTTTAGTGTCGATGAATTACATTGCGTGATTTAATAATATTTGCCCGACATTGTCGATATGCTTGTGTTATCTTAACGAGAGCCATAGATTTTCTAAATATTTTCAAAAGAATCAGCAGCAACAATTATCAAGAATTAATTAATTATTAATTGCAACAATTGTAAGGTTAGAAAATACACATGCATGCATGCATACTATGCAGGTGGAATTCGTGAGCTAACCAAAAATTCAGGGAATTAGATTGTCTTTTTAAAATAAATGAATTGAATTGTTTCTAAAATCTATGCTTTACCAATTACTTATTTCATTGAGCATCTATTTTCGATATGCTAATTGTTATAATATGTTAATCAATTACGAATTTTAACATATTACTCATAAAATGCATTTGCAAATGGATATTGTGTGTGAGTATTGTATGTGCTTATCTTCAATAGCTTCTTCAAACATTGACAATTACTGAAAAATATCTCTTAATCAAATGTTTAAAGACAGCCTAATGTCTGGTCGTTAAATTCCTTAATGATAAGTTAATTAATTTTTTATTGTATTGTTATTGCGAAAAATTATCAAGCATGAAATAAAATTTAAACAAAACAACGCAAACATAATCCACTCATAATTTTCCTTTCAATTTACAGTAAATATTCTTATCAAGATCTGTGAACCGATTGAGATGTCACCGTTGTCGTTTACCACCAATGGTAAGTTTATGTCTTTCCATCACACGTTGCATGTACGAACGAACAACCCACGTACGTACCTATCCATACCCTCGTGAACTACCAATTTTTATTCGTCGTGCTTCGTGCGCTAATGCGATGGCTGCAGTTGCGATCTGCAAGATGTCGCTCTATATTCTTGCAAATTTAATAAGAAAATTTCATTTTCGGATTTTCAAGATTTTTCGTATGCTTTCGTAAATATTTAAGGCAAAGTGGCAAAAATTCATGTGAACTTTGGCCATTCAATAAAATATAAAGGTTTTAACGATATGTACAAGCGCAAATAAATTACAAGCAACGTTTTAAGGATTTAAAGACAGTTTAAAGTACCATGTTAGCATTAGAATGACATTAATTATTCCTTATATTTAAATTATAATTTATGATTTTCATATACTTTTAGGATACATTAAGTCAACGTAATATTTTTATTAAATATAAGCTTCTTCTTTCTTTTTTTTCTTCTTCAAAATAATAATTTAATGGGAATTCCAAATTGTAAGTATGATTAATAAGATATACGCAACAAAATGTTAGCCTTGCGATAATTTACACAAATTAATTTAATATAACAGGCTATTTAAAAAAAAAAAAAACTCTAATCAGTATATGTATTAAAAACTATTCGAACCTTAATACTCGCTCCATTATACAGTGTTCATTTTTTTTTTTTCAATAATTTAATTGGCAATTTATTGATAATATTAAAAAGATTATTTAAATAAAATTTTGGCTATGGACTTCTAGTATGAAATTTTTTTGGAAAACAATATTTAAAGTCCCTATTATAAAATATTTATGAGTAAAATTTATCATATTAAATATTCCCTATATATATATATATATATATATACACCATATTGCTCTCAACCCTTTTACATAATGAGGTATATTTATATTTGTTTACTTATCGTTTATTAGTATAGTTACGTTAAGGTATGTTAATTTAAGAATGATATCTTTTTAAAATATTCAATTAATATCGTGATAAACATTACTGTTTTAAAATTATGGCATGAAATGTGAAAATAATAAATTCTACTTATTATTACTAATAATAGTGTCATTTAAAATTTTAAAAATATTAATGGTACTTAAATAAATAGTATCATTCATGCACTTGCGCATATATGCTTTACTTTTTGCATGTAACATAATTTAAATAATAGTTACATTTAATATTGTCATTTTAGCTGCAATATATAAATAAATATATGAAATAATTTTTTTAATTTTTTTTTTAATTTAATTTTAATTTAAATTTAATTAATATTATACAAACACAAAAATATACCAAAATTTTTTAAAGGTTTTGCAAATCTTCTTTTTAATTCAAAAGTAAAAAAACTATTTTTAATAATTAGTGGTATTTTAAATGTGTTTGATAAATTATTTTTTATTTAGAAGATTCTGGTAATAATTCACTTTTTGAGAATAAAGCATATGTTCCGATATAAATTAAGCTAATCTATTTTATCATTCCAATTAATAATCTTTACAAATACATGTGAAATATCGTAGAACTATTATAAGATATAATTCTACTTTACTAAATTTATCTACCATTATTATGTTATATTCTTTATATACTATGTATATATTTCCAATAGTTAATGTTGCATAAAAGTATTAATATGTTTTAATTGTAATATTGTATATAGAGAATAATTGTTATATACTTAAGAAATTTTATGTTTCTCAAATACTATTTTATAAATACCAAGTATTTCTAGATGGAAGTATTTTGAAAATACGTCTTTTCAGAAAAAATAAGATATTTTTGTGGCCATTGATCCACAGTTCCATTCATTCATTTGAAACTCTACATGACTTGATAAGAAGTTAAACAAAACATCGATTTATTATGTATAAATTCACCACTACGCAGCATACAAGTTCAATTTGTTTCAAAAAATTGTTCGCAATAAATGTTATCCTAATTGTGCGCGCTATATATGTTATTCAAATAATATATATATATATATATATATATATATATATATATATATATATATATATAACTTCCCTTATAAATTTATTCATTTTATGAAGTTTTACCGTAAATATCAATCTACAACTTTTAAGAAATTGAAATAAAAAAATTCTGTCTTATAAAATTGAGCAATCCAAATATATTTTCTAAAAATTTGTATACATTATTAAAAGATAGTCCTTACAATTATAGATGTATATCGTAACACATATTATTATAAAACATATATATATATATATATATATATAAACAGTATAATATATAATTTTGCAAAATATAGTTGTAGTACTTTAAATAACACAAAATTATTGACAAAATTTATCTTTTATTTATTTATCAAACGCAAATCTTTATTTGAATATCAAGTTTAGAAAAATTTTTTCACATAAGTATTACGAAAATATTAGAAATCTATACTTCTGTGAATTTAAAAAAAAAAAAAAGCATAGTTACTACAGTATCAGAAAGAAAAAAATATTGAAATTCACGAAGACATAAAAGTATTCGAAATGATGGGTTTGTTTAAAACCTAAATTAGTAAAGTAAATTAATTACTCTTTAAATTTGCCTTTTATTGAAATTACAATTTAGAAATAATTTGAAATAAAATATTTTTGATGAACCGAAAAATAACTTTTTCCGTTTTTTTTTTCAATAATTTCCAAATTATATTTAAATTGCTATAAATACTATGGGATTTCAATATTAATTATTTTTATCTAATACCTTATCTTTTCAATCACCTAAATCAGTCAAAAATAATATTAACTAACAATATTATGATAAGTGTTTTATAAAATTATTTTTATTGTAAGTTCTAATAGAAATAGAGGTTAATATCATATAATTTATTTTATATTTAAATATGTGGTAACACTATAATTTTGTTGCTATAATATGAAAAGCTTTCGAATCTGTGAATCTTACAATATAAAAGATATAACAAGATTTTTCTTTAATTTCAAATTTCTAAAGAGTTTTAATAATAATTATTGAATATATGATGTAATTGATGATTGTTTAGATTTATATTGTAAAATCGTAATATAAAATTTTTATTTTTAAAGGCAGATTAAAAAACAAGAATTAGTTGCTACATCTTTCTTAATTTGATTTAATTTTCTTTTAATACCATGATAAGATAACACGTCCCATACTATAAATATTTGTGAATAAAATACTATATACTTTGTTAATATAATATTGTAGTTCATTTTTTAGGAAACAAAAATCATATATCTATCAAATTGTTTAATTCGTAATATTTTTACTTTGATTGATATAAAATAGTCGAGGATATATATATATATATATATGAACATATGAACTATTACTTACACTACAAATGAATTATCAATTTTCTTTTATATAATATTTCATAAATTTATTGATAAATTGAATGTTACTTGGTACCACTCGTAATTGATTAATTGACAATTATGTAGACTTTAAATAGTTTATATGAATTTAATTTATCATAGGCTAAATTTGTTATTTATAAGAATTTTTAATATTTTTATAATCAATGTCAAGTATATATACATGAGATATTTAAATATCAATATATATTCATACTGCGCAGTTGTTACGATTAGTATACCGTAATACAAAAATATTTTTTCTAAAACAAAATAAAGTCCTTATGCACTTAAAACTGCTTACGCATAGAAAAATTCATATATATATATAAAATTAGTTGCAATAAAATTATTGAAATAAATTAAATTTATTCAGAATTTACTAACCATCTTAGAATAAGCAGAGGTAGTTTGTTAATCTAGAAAATGAATAAAAACTTCGATTTTCAATTAATTTT